ATTTTGGAATCAGACCTCGAATAGTGTGCTGTTACATAAGAGATGTGGTGGCCTGAGACACCATGAATCAGAAATTCCAAAGAGAAAGATTGACATAGGAGTGAGCTGTGGCTGCAATAGATTGAGACGTCGGAGGAGAAAACAAATTGAAATAAAGATGGGTAGAGTCCTGAGGAGGAAAGTGATGTTCCATCAGTTAAATCAACGATTAAAGAAACTTGGCAAAGAAGAACTAGACGATTCTTGACTCTGGCTTATTTGTTTTGTTTTATTTTACATTAAATATATTTTAGGATCTCACCGATTTGTGTTGATTCATATGATTCAGATTCTCAAAAAAAAAAACAAACGAATTAACTTGTATCTCTTCTTTATTAAATTCGAGCAAGGAACAATGGTGTGATGACACTGACAGATTCTAAGAACAATGGTGACAAGGTCGAATTTCCGAAAAATAAGTTTATTAAAATTAGACTTTTAAGAAAAATTGTTTTTTTTTGTGCAAAAAACAAAACATGATTTTTGGTTTGGTTCAACCTGTTTAAATCTTTAGGTTAATAACAAACCAACTAAAATCTTGGTATATGGGTAATTAGAGTTTGCACTATTTCAGGGAGAAATCAATTCAAAACTGTTAGTTCGTGGAGAAATAAGAATACAACTTTCAATTCAGGGTGATCTGGCAAGAAGGTATAGTTTGGTGGAGATCTGATATTATATAATAGTTTCCGTGGGGAAATAGATCGTTAACTAACCCTTAAGCCTCTCTGGTGTTCTTGCGGAACTATACTTGAAAGCCATTCTTTCCAAGAGACAATATTTCAAGTAACTTGAACGAATGCGTTTTTTTTATAACATGATCTTCTTACGAGCTAAATCTCAAAGTGCTTAGTCTTTGTTTTGAAAGGAATATTTTTTTCATGGACTTTGATTTGATTGCTATATCTGAGTTTCTGAGCTACTAACAATGAAGAGAACATCCCCTGAGATTCATACCACCGCATTACTATCAGAGAAAAAACTATGCTCAATCCTCTAGAACGCAAAAAAAAGTTAGCAAGGTATTTTTAATATCTAAAACCTGATCATAGATTTTGTAAAATTATATATTGACTTGAAAGCCACACTGGTGTTTGAGATGCAGAGACAAAAAGAACAGCTTGAGGAGAAGACACAGAATATAAAAGATGTATCAGCAAAACATGCGCTTGAGTTGCTGAGGCAAAATAAACAATTTGGGTTACAACTCAAAAAGTGAGAAATCAAAAAAAATTAATATTTCGAGAAGAGACAAAGGTTCGTAGATGATAACTCAGAAAATTAGATGTGGGCTGTAAGGTCAGGGAGAAAAATCTTGACTTGAGAACATGCAATTGCAAAGGGCAGAAGCTGCCACGGCAACTAATGAAGAAGCTGTAAAGGAAGCAGATGCAGCAAAAGCAGTTGAAGCTTACGCTGAAGAAGCTTCAAAGACACTGAAAGGAGAAAGCATCTACAAAATGGTAAACACACACTTCTTTTATCACACAAAACATGATAAAGAAAACACTTTTTCATGATCGTATTTGAAATTTGATTAAGCAGATGGTTTGTACCTGAGGTGGGTGAGAAGAAGAATAAGAGTTGAAGTAGAAGAAGAATTAAAGAAGGAGAAATTTTTTTTTGGTGAACAACAATGTTTTTTTTTAAAAGATAAGCTACGTAAAGCCTAATTATTCTTATGACATAGCTAAATATATTGTTTACTGTGCGAAAAAAAGTAAATGACTATGAAATAACAATAAATGTTCGCTAATAACAGGTTTAAGACATATGAAACAACATATTTGAACAAAACAACCAATGAGTCATCAACATTTTTATTTACCCGACCTCCTAGAAAAAAACTCCTCTAACCCAAATACCAAAAAAATACTCGTTTTTTAGAAGTCTATTGAAACAAAATAAAATTCAAAAAGTTACTTCACGGGATTAAAATTATTTCTCAAAAGCTTTTCAAATATGTTTCTCTTTCACTATTTCCCTTATTATGTACATGAAATTAATCTCCGTTTCAAACTATTTATAAACTACAGAATTCAGTTAGCACACTAAAAACATTAAAAATTACATTAAAAGCAGTTTATTTTTATTTTATTTTTTATATCAATAAAAAGTATTAAAAAAAATAATAGTAGAGATCAAACATCTAAACCCGGCGCGTAGCGCCGGCCCGCATCTAGTGTATATATATATTACATATATGTATGTAATTATAGGGTTTACCAAATAGTATAGAATCCTCCCCAAAAGTTCTAAATATAGACTTTTTTAGAACTTTTGAGGAAGGTTCTACACTATTTGGTAGACCCTACAATTACATACATATATATAATATATATATACACATATATAGTTTTAGAACTCCAATGGGATATAACTGCATTGGAGATGGTCTAAGAAGTAGTTAAAATAAGGATTTCATGATTAAAAAAGACCAAAAAGGGTTTTGAAAAAAGGTCTTGAAGAAAGAGTTTTTTCGAAAGAGAAGTTTTAAAAAATGAGAACCATATAATACATTTTTTCAATTATATTTTTTTTCTTTTCAAATTACAACTATTCGATATATTTTATCAAATTGCTATTTTTTGTTTGTTTGACTAGTTTGTAAAATTCTCATAATAGAAATGTTCTAATATGCTAGACCGTTACTTCTTCTCATCGATTAAATAGGTTTATGCTTAAGATTATTCAGCATTTGAATGTCTAGATTCGCTATTTGTGTATATGAGATAACAGTTCTGATCCCCAAATTCCCATACAAAGCTACATAAATCAATAGACGTGATCATACAAGTTCTTAAAAGTGTGATTTGTTTTTCAAAATGATTACCCAATTTGTTTTTCAATAGTATGATTATCCAATAATTTAGTTGCTGGTTTCTTTTGGGTTTTAAAGAACCCATTGTATTTTATAACAAAATTTATATATGCAAATACGCTTGGTCTGAATTTTTTTAAATATAGCTTATTTGTTTCTTCTCAAGCTGGTAGAGAAAACTAGTTAAAATTAGCTAATTAATCAACATATTAACCTCCTCGTTTTGCCACATTAACTTAGTGCACAATCATCATTTATTTCGTTTATTGTAGGCCGCTTGTTCTACTACAAAACATCTAGATGTATATTTACCCCTTTTGTGTCTAGTTCTTGAATACCATTTTGTGTGTTGTGTGAATAAATATTTATGATACACTTATGTTTTAGGTTAAACATAACTCTACTTTGTTATTTCAAATTGTGGATTTATACAAATTAAGTGAACCGTTGAAGACTGCACTTGATATGTCGGTCGTTTAAGGTATATGATATTTCCCGGTTGACTTTTTATGATCTTGTAAACATGATAATATCTCTAGCTATTGATTTATAAGTAGTTAACAAGTAGTTTTGTAAGCTTATGAAATATATTTCCTTTCATTTTCAGTGCAGATTTACGAATGGTTTACAGGATTTCATCGAGTTTGAATCATCGTGTCAGTAAAGATCAATATTGATATGGTTTACAGGATTTCATCGAGTTTACAAATTTCCTACTTTTTAATTTTATTGATTTTTACACTTTTTAATTTCTATTTTTTTGTTTTTATTATTTTTACTATTTTGTTAGTTTTAATTGATTTTTACTTTTATTTTTATTATAAACTTTTGAATTTATAAAAAAAAATTATTGCGATGTTTAATATATTATTATTACAAATTTTATTGTTTAAAGTGTTAGCAGTTGAATCTCAAGATTTAAAATTCAAACTTTTGTCAATTTCATTTTTGCCCTTAAATAAATGAGATGCAAAATATTTGACCAGTCAAAATTTCAGGTAAAAAAAAATTGTTTGCTTAATAGTTTTTTACAGGTCTAACTCTTTAAAGCTTTAAACTATTGTTTAGCCATTTAAGCTTTCTTAGTAAAAATCATATCTTAAAAATTAAATATGTTTTAAAATTTTCACCAATTTCCCTAATTAATTTTGAAATTACTTAAAATTTCTATTACCTCGTTTCAATTTATTTATTGTTCTAGAATAAATTTTCATTTCAAAATAACTGTCAGTTTATAATTTCAATACGAATTTTCTTAATTTTATATTTCATTCTTTTTTTATTGGTTGAAATGTGATTAGATGTATAGTCAATGATGTTTTTATTTCAAAATTATTCAAAATTAAATATATTTTTAATCTATGTGCACAAATCAAAACGAAAGTTAAAATAAAACACATGGAATGTTATTACTTTCAGTTAGTTTTAACAACCAGCTAAACACATAAGTAATTTTTTGTCACAAAAAAACAGAAGTAATTACTATTTTAAAAGAAAACATATAATTTTACACAAAGTATAATCATGAAAATAATTTTTTTTTAATAAAGTAGCAAGGTAAATTTCTAAAATTTAATCTCTAAAAACAAACAAACTATCAAAATAACCAAATATCAGTTGATTTTTGAAGTACATGTCTTTGAAAAAAACTAGAAAATTAAACATGTCATATCGATTAGATCATAGTAAAACTGTAAAATAATAAAGATATAAAACACTGTGTAAATTTACTAGATATACTTTATCATGTTTCTAAATTTATATAAATTAAATATTTGTTACCGTACGTATGGATCATCGAATTATAAAATAAAATACAGTATTTTTAGCTATATTATATATATATATATGTGTGTGTGTGGGAATTAATTATTTTTGGAAAATATTGGACACATGCGTTTTTAATAAAATAAGATAATAATTGTTGTTTTATCCTTTACATCTGTTTTGTTTGGATGCATCCACCTCTAATACTATGTGCCATTGTTTATCCAGATGCATAGATTTTGAATACACTAGTTGAATTTAAACCGTTTCGCGTGGCGGCAAACCGTTACGAAAAAAAAAAGTCTCTTTGGCGCCAAATCCGAGAAGAAGGCAAAAGAAAAAACCCCGAAAACAGTCCCAATCTCACTAAGCTATGCAATCAAAAATCAATTCTTTCTTCAAGCCCTCGTCTTCGTCTCCTATCGCCGTGTCAGTAACACCAGAAACAGACGATGAATTAACCGCCTGGGAGAATAATCAGAACGTCATCGTCAACACCTACGAGCGTCGTTCTGCCAAAGCCGATAGGTAAAAGAACTATCTTGTTTGGTTTTCTTCATTTTCCATTGGGTTTCTGTTTATGCGTAATGGGTTTCTCTTAGAATCTAATGGTTACGCTTTGGTGCTACTCTCCAGAAGTGAAGTGATTAAGGAACGCAAAGGACCTTCCTTTGCACCTAAAACACTCAACAAGAAGCGGAGCTATACTAAATTCCACTTAGAGCTGGGCCAATCTGATTTTCTTATAAGACACTGCGTAGAGTGTGGAGCTACGTATGCTCCTGGAGAAGAGTTAGATGAGAAGATCCATCAAAGTTTTCACAAGGAGTACATGAATGGAATCCCTTTTAAGGTGACCTTATATTGCTGAAAAGACATCTGTATGTTTCTTTGATTCTTGTAGAGGTTGTTTTTAATTAACTTTCTGGTTTTTATAATTGAGTTTCTCAGGGTTGGCAGAACGAGAGAGTGTTTACGTCGCCTTGTTTTGACAAGAACCGTGTTGTTATGGTGTTGGAAAATGATTCTTCTGCACACAGAAACAAGGTTTGGTCGTTACGCAGTTTAAGTTGTGTTGTATTAATGAATGTACTACTGGTTCTTTCATTTTGAGGATTTATTGTTTGCACTTTGCAGGTGCAAGAGGTTGTGAAGATGATGGAGGTTGAGCTAGGTGAGGACTGGATTCTTCACAAACATTGTAAGGTAGTAATGAGAGTCTTTATCCGTGACTTAACAACCATTTTTGAATAGATTCCATACCTCATACATGGTTTACTTTTAGAGGAAGGAGCAAGACAGTGACCTATTGTGATTCCTTGTTTATGACTAGCATTCAAATCACACAACAAAGTTGGCTGTGCAGAAAATCAAGAGTTTCTTTTATATCTTTTAGTTACCACATTCGGTAAATTCACAAGAAAAAAGTTGATATAGCCAAAAATGTTTTGACTAGTCTTTTTGTTGCTTTCACAGCGGTTTTCAAGAGCTACCTTGTTATTTGCAGGTTTATCTATTCGTTTCCTCTAAGAGGATTTCTGGATGTCTAGTTGCAGAACCAATCAAGGAAGCATTTAAGATCGTATCTTCTCTTGGAGATGGGAGACAGCTTAAAAAAGAAAACCCTTTTCCTTCAACCTCCATTCAGTTTGGAAACATTGTGTTGCAAAGACAAGTATCAAAGAGATGGAAAAAATCAGATGGTAGATTAGATAACGAAGCCATTGTATGTGAAGATGAAGCTAAACCGGCTGTTTGTGGAGTTAGAGCGATTTGGGTCTCACCTTCCAACAGAAGAAAAGGCTTAGCTACACAATTACTCGATACAGCGAGGTAAAAAGAACTATTAGCAACCATCCTCTCATTGTAAAATGTTGAATCAATGTTTAGGTTTGTGTTAAAACGCAGGGAAAGCTTCATCAATGGGTGCGTTTTGGAGAAAAATCAGTTGGCGTTTTCACAACCAAGCTCTCTGGGAAGAGCTTTTGGATCTAATTATTTTGAAACTTCTACCTTCTTAGTTTACAAAGCCCAACTGTATGTACCAGGCCCAACACTGTAGAAAGACCCAATCATAAGCAGATTGATTTGCCATCATTTAGCAATTATAAGAAATAACTGAATTTTTTTGTCCAAAAAAAAGAAATAACTGAAATTTATAAGCAGACCAAACCATATATTTTGGGTTATTTAATGTTCAAAAAGGTATAAGGCATAGTTGAAAATTGGCTTGTGAATATTTGAATAATATTTTTCGAATGAATTAAATTTATACGAATAAAAAAATATTTTTACAATGAATGTGTATTCTTGTAACGAATTTATAAATATTTAAACAAAATAATTTTTGCAGAGCATTGTCCTATGAAAAAATCATCTTGTAATATTTCAATTTTAATAATATAGATGCTTCATTAATTGGTTCTGCAACTTGACATACCCTTAGAAGAGAGGAATAAGGGTCTGACTGGTTGAAACGCGGCGGTTGCGATTGCGGTTGCGGGAGTTTGCGGATGTGGGTGGCTGCGGTTTCTAGCGTTATTAGGCGATTTGTACGACTGGTATAGCGATTAAAAACTGGTGCGTTTGCGGGACATTTATGACTGGTTGATTATAAGATACTACAGCGGTTCAATAATAAATTTCCAATATTAACATATTATAACATTATAAAAATATCAAAACATACTGTTATGATAAAAAATAATAACTATTAATATATTATAAGTAATAACAATATTATTTTATTATTTTTATTTAGATGAAAATAAATTTCTATAATTAATAAAATATTCTAATATAATTAATTATATATTTATGTATTTATATATTTATCTATTTCTCTATTTATATATGTATATTTATATATTTTATATTTATATATTTATATTTATATATTTATATATTTATTTATTTTTATATTTTAACTTAAATTTAAATTTAAATTTAAAAGAAAAATAATTTTTTTACCCACCCGCAATCGCCCGCAAACGCAAACGCTAGCTGAAACCAGCTTTTGATTTTAAGAGGTTAGGAGCGATTTGAAGCGATTTGTAGCGATTTTTGTGATTGTTGCAAAACACTAGCAACCGCCATCAACCGCAAAAGCTGCGTTTGCGGGTGGTAGCGGGAAAACCAGTCGGACCCTAAATAAACATGCACATAACAAGATATATCTTTTTTTTTTTTTGAAAAAATAACAAGGTAGATCTTGATGCTTGAGCTATATAACAAGGTAGGTCTTTTACCCCAAATAACCTACATAACAAGGTAAACCCCAAAAAAATACTTCAATTTTAATAATATAGATGCTTCCTTAATGAATTCCACAACTGAACATACCCTTAGAGGAGAGAAATAGATAAACATTTACATAACAAGGTAGGTCTTGAGACAGAAGCTGCACTCTGGGCTGAGGCTCAGACCGTGGATACAACTGGTTGTATAAGTACCGGTGAGTCTAGCGACGTTAGCTTACCTTTGATTCCGGGACGCTGGTGCTGGGGTGGTACAACACATTACAAGGGTATAAGGGGTTTGATGGGTGCAAGGAATACGAGAGTAAGCTTCTCACCACTCCATTCAGAGGTGAAAGCTCTCATTTGGGCAATGGAAAGTATGAGAAATTTACGTCAGTATCATGTTACTTTTGCGACGGATTGTATTCAATTGGTGAGGAGGGTTTTTACACCAGAAGAATAGCATGCCTTTGCGGACTACTTGGAGGACACAAGACCCTTAGAGAGAGTTTTAACTATTCCGATATCATTCATATCCCAAGAACGTTGAATACCAGGACGGATAGACTGGCACGCAGTGCTAGAAAGCATCCGTTCTTTGTTGTTCATATGGATGCAGACCCTCCGATATAGCTTGCGGAATCTTCTTAGAGTCTGTGTTTGTTGATGACAAAAAAAAACAAGGAACCAATTAACTTTCTTATGATTTCAGTGTACCAAATAATCATATACGACCTAGGGAATTTATACAAAATGTTTTAATAAGTCGTGGATAAAAGACTCACACCTTATAATGTTTGTGAAGAATCCAATCCTCACATAGCTCAACCTCCATCATCTTCATAAGATTTTAGGTAGCTTTCCGATACATTCCTTAAGCACTTCACTTCCAGATTTGTCAATTGAAGTTTTCAAAAAAAAATTAAGAAACCCAATTGCAAATGAAATCCATAGACCCTTAATCTGACGAATACAAAAGTATATAATGAAAGTTCGAAGAGCCCTAAAGATAACAAACTCCCAAAAAAGATGGTCCCCTATCGATTTGCGTAGATCGACGCTCGTAGGTGTTGACGATGAAGTTTCGATTTTTTTTATCCCAGGCGGCTAAACCATCGTCTGTGTCTGGTATTACTAAGGCAGCGGCGAAGGCGAGTCGACGAAGAAGATGTATTTATATGGGCCTTAATGGGCTGGTTTTGGTATCTAAACCCCTCAAACCCAACAAGAAATTAAGAATTAAATTTCGTGGTGTTATTCTCAAATCGCTTCTTCGCTTCTCGAGTCAACCGTTTTCCTTCTACTTCAAGAAAGCTATTAGAGTACTCCGGTTATATCGAAACCGTTAATTTTGAATTAACCAATGAAAGCAAAGTTTAAAGGCTCTACAGTGTACATGCGTCACATAATATTTTTTTCTTGTAAATGAAGATGTAGATTCATAACAAAAAAATCACAACTAAATCTCCCAAGAAAATTTATCCTCATTCTTTAACCGCTCTCTTCTTAGTAACTAGAAGAGAAAGTGATCACCTTCCTTCAACGCTCTCTCCGTAGTAACTAGAAGAGAAAGTCATCATCTCCCTTCAACGCTCTCTCCTTACTAACGAGATCAGATCCACATTGAAGTGGCGGCGTAATCAGATAAACTTCGTGAATCAGAATCTCAAAATGCAAGTTTCTCAAATCTCCCGATGAGTTATTGGAGACGATGCCGAGAAGTCCACGCGTCCTCTTTGCCCTATCATCACTGAAGCCACCACGCGTCTTCTTCGCATTGGAATCTCCGAAGTCATAGAGTTCGCTTGTATGATAAAACCGCATGAGTATTTGGTGATGTATGGACATGTCGCTCTCTCAAATTCAGTTACGAATCTCACAAAATCTTGTTGGCGCTGACTCTCAAATCGCTTGATACTCAACTGGCGAGAGGATTTCTTGGAGATTTTCAGAGATCTCTTCATCTTCATTTCGAATCTTGGAATCCCCAGAGATCGAAGGTATCTCGAACATGCATCATAGTTGGTATATGTGATTCAGTGATAGGTTAGGGGTGCCATGTTCGACCGTGTTAGGCTATTTTCCTCAATGTATTTTTTTATCCGGTTACAAGCGCTTAATAGTTTTAGTCCTTTAAATTTAACAAGAATATTTGTAGAGTAAATGGTTTAAGTAATTGAACACTTTATTAGAGGTTCTAGGTTCTAGTAATCTTACAATATTAAAAGTTCTAATTCAAGCCTTGTGAGACTGTCCAGCTGGACATAAAAAATCAGCCAATCAAGGAGATTCAATTTGCCACGTCATATAACTATTGTCACTCTTTCTCTCTTCCCAAACATTCATGCTCTCTTCCTCTCCCCGTGGTTCCAGTGGCGGCTCTGCTACTGCCTTTCCCGGCGGTGATAGAAAATCTCTTTATGGGGTTCGAAGAACGCGATGAAATTCTCTCCGGTTTATTAGACTGATTAAGAGCAGCAATGTAGTGGATCCGGGTTCATGGGTTTCGACCTTGGTTCTGGATCCGGTTATCCAGTCAACGTTCTTTTTCAAGATAGCTTCTAATCGATTTCTTTGGTTCATTGCAGAGATGGTTATTATAATCGATAGCTGTTTTGATTCTACTCACAAAAAGGTTCGAGCTTTAGCTCAGCCTGGCGGCTTCAACATGGCATGGGATCTGGACAGAGTGAAGAACAACGCGGTGGCAGCGGGACCACTGACATAGCGGATGGTGGCTGTGGAATTTGTAAGTTCAAAGGGAATGATGATAAGAAGATTGTTGTGGCTGTTGACATTGATGAGGGTATGTTATGTTCCCCTTCTCCTTCATTGATGAATCATGTTTTACAGGGAGAAATGGTTTCAAAATGTTATGTTAAGAATTTTTGAATTGTTAAATGGGTTCTAGATGAGTTAATGATGATGTTTATTTTCTAAAAGGTATCAAAAGCACTAAGAGAAGCTGCTCTTGAATTATCAAATCTCATTCTTGGAACTGATTTCACAAAGAGCAACGAATGGACTGGTAAGCTATTAAGAAAAAAACAATTTACTATAAAACTATATAGAATGTAACAGAGTGATCATCGTTCTGTTTTTTTTTTCAGGGAAAACTTCTTTTAATGGAAAATGTATGCACGGTCTCGGAGAAACTGCAAATCTATATGAAAAGGAAATATTTTTAATAGGCCAAACGTTGGCTTCTTTCGATGAAGACAACCTAATCCCTTCTTTTGGCTTTGGTGACTGTGAGTTCTGTTCAGTTTGTTTCCTAAGAAAAAAATATTCAAGTTTTGTTTCTAAGACACTCTGTTGGTTTCTTGCATCATCTAGCAACGACACATGACGAGGAAGTGTTTGGTTTCCACAGAGATAACTCTCGATGTCATGGATTTGAAGAGGTCTTAGCATGTTACAGAAGAATCGCAACCTAACTTGCGTTTATCAGGTCAGTAAACTCTCTACCTTCATTACCATATCATAAGCTTCCGAGTAACTTTTGTTTCAAAAGGGCCAATGTCGTATGGACCGCTTATCGATGCTGCGGTTGACATCGTTGAAAAGAACAACCGGACAGTTTCATGTTTTGGTGATTGTCGCTGATGGTCAGGTAAAGTTACAAAGCTTTTTCAAAACAAAAAGAGTATGAAAACTTAATAACAAGACCATGTTCTAAATGTGTGTAGGTAACAAGAGGTTTGGATATGCCCGAGGGAGAACTCAATCAACAAGAGAAAACAACTATAGACGCCATTGTAAATGCAAGGTGAGAAACAAACAAAACACAATAGTTTGATAACATGATCCCTAAGTTCCTATCACCTTGCAGCTCATATGCATTCACGATTGTTT